TTCCTGCTACTTCTTCAGTTCCAAACATTACACTTCTTGGGTGACATTTCTTTGGGAACAGAAAGGGAAGGGGAGATTTTTGAGGGTGTAAACTAACCTGGTAGGGTAGTATTAGATACTAGCCTGCCCACCCCAGTTTTACCTATGTGCTGCTTCCTTTCCCCCCCTGGAAAAACCTCATGAGAATGAGTGGGTGCCTACAACAACTTGGGGTGCCTTGCAGCTGTGTCAGCTAGGAGATTATAGGAAAGATGTGCCTGTATGAACTAAATGAGTAGGATGTCTCATGGTGGGTTCATTCTTTCAGTGTCATAACCAGGTGTAGAAGCAGGGGATGACAGTTCAGTCCCAGCTCTAGTAGATCAGGTGGATGTTCTAGTTGTGCCACAGCCCCGAGTTCTGACCTGTCCTCTGGTTTTGCAGAGTTCCTGGAGAGTGTGGCTGCTATTTATCAGGATCTGTTGGCTGGTAAGAATCCGAACACTGTAATTGTTCCAACGTCATCCTCTGGGCAGCACCGTTCCCGTCAGGCTTCAAGTGAGTGCAGCCCACTTGATGGGGTGGAGGCATCTCTATTCTACCAGTGCCTAGAGACCCTGCTTGATAGGTCAAAATACAGGTAAGAACTGGGGCTGCAAGGAAGACTCTGAGCTGATACCTGGAAGACTGTCTTAGTAGGGGTGGAGCTCTGAGGAACTACAGGACCTTGGAGAATCTGTGAAGCCCTCTAAGCATTCTTGGGTGGATAGAAAGGGGAAGAACCCTAATAGCCCTAACACAAAAAAAGAGAAACTACATCACAGATGTCAGAAATGGGGGCTTGAGCTGATACTTGAGACGAAGGGTTCTACGGGGGCTCTGCTTCCCTATAGAGATCTCATCTCTGCCTTGGCATCCTTCCAGAGAGAGGCTCACCCAGCACCATGTATTGCAGTAGGAAACTTGGGTACCACTCTCTGCCCCAATGAATTTGTATGTAAAATATTTAAACTGATCATTAGAGTAGGTTTCCCACATCCTGTGTGAGGGAAACCTACTTCCCTGTATGAGCATTTTAGCCACTGAGCTAACAGAAGCTGGTGGTAACAGCACCATTACCACAAAGACAGGTCACTGTTTGGTTTGTGAAAGGGAAGGCTCAGAGTTGTGGTGCCTGAGTCCCCATGTAGATCTAGCCTTGTCTCCTTGTCCTTGGACTAGAGGCAATCATGGCTTTTCTTGGAAATCTGTCTCAGCTCAAAGGCATTCCTTAGTAAAAGGACAGCAGTTAGGAAGCTAAATGAATACTCCAACTGCTATTTGCCATGATAGCTTGGCTTACTTCCTTCAGTCCATTCCCGGAGGATATAGTTATCAAGTATAACTAGGTCTATGTTAGAGTAGGTCAGACATCTGAGAGACAGAAGAAGGTGATGTTCTACCAGTCATGCTAGTTTTGCTTCCTCTCTTCATCTAGCTGTCCCCCATCCGCCCTTGTCAAAGAGGTGCTGAGCAGTGTCCAGAGACTGACTTTCTATGGATTCCTGATGGCACTTGCAAAGCATCACGGGATCAACAGAGCTGTAGGTGAGGGAAGAAGGAGCCCTCCTCAAACCCCTGTGGGTCTGCCTGGATTTTTCCACGTCAGAATTTTTCTGGGATGTACTACACAATTGTGCCACCTATTTTTCATTGTCGTTCTACAAAGCACAACCCAGTATGGCAATATCTGCCTGAGAGAAGTGCCTGAAGCAACAAAACAGAGATATGAATTGCTTTGTTTATCTCTATGACATGATGCCTCATGATAGCAATATTGTGAGCAGATATATTCAGTTAACACTGGGTGGAAATGGGTCAGGAGGAGGTAAGGTGGCTGATTGCTTTCAACAGTTGCAGTAGTAGGAAACTGAGTTCAAGTTTCCTTTCCCTCAGTGTTAAGTGACTATGGTCTATGACTGCAAGAGAAAAGGGAAGAAGAAATGCATCTCAAGTGCCAAATAATTCTGCTGTGCCCTTGCAGCAAAGATCCTAGTGGGGTCCCAGACCTCCCCTTCTATCTCCCATACCACAACATGAACCTCCTGCTTCCTCAGACAGCTGTACCCACGTAGTTGTGTGTTGTTGGTACAAAAATCTGTCATTTAGTGAAAATCTGATAGCAGTGTAAAATACATCAATATAACATCAGAAAATAAGGCCCAAGGGAGAGGGACACAGCTGGTTGGATTATTCAGGTTATTTATTATCTGGTCAAATCCTCTTAATTGTCATAGGCTTGTAGCCGCCCAAAGTTCTCTACCAGACCAGTGTGGAAACCAATGATGGTAGTGCATGGGTCCAGGTTAGTGCAGAGGACATGGATCCTCAAAACTTGATCCCATTTGTCTGTTGCACAGGTCAATGTTGTCCAAGATCAGGAGGGCTGGGGCACTGCATTGGCTTCTTGTTAGGAGGCCAAGAACTCTACCTAATTTGCATGGATTTCAAACCCACTGTCCTGTGCCAGCTTCCTTATTCCTTCTTGTGCCCTCCCTTCCTTTCTTGAAGAGGAGAGGGAGGAGCTCACTTGTCAGCTGAGTTTGGCAAGGCTGAATTTGGCACCCCAAGGCTGTCCAAGGGCCAAAGAAGAATATTTGGATGCCTGAAGCTCTGATCTCTCAAGATGCTGGCCTTGCAGCAGGGGACAAGAGGGATGACCACAGGTCTATCCTACCATATGATACCAAGAAAAGCAGAGGGGCAGCATGGGTAGTGTTTTTGTCCCTATAGCTCCATGCCTGACTGTCTGATAGTCTGCCACACCTCAGAGAAGAGTCTCAGTGGAAACTGCACTTCTCTTCCCTGTGGGCCTGCTTCTTTGCACAGGTGTGTGTCATAGCAAAGAAGCAAAATCATCCCCTCCCTGGCTGAGCCCCTCTCTTAACAGTTCATTTCTGTTGCTAATGTTTCTCTGGGGCAGGGCTGCTTACCCAGCAACACAGAGATTATGTATCAAAGGAACATGAATACAACCCAGCAATCCCCTCTGCAAACAGGCTTAGGGAGCAGTGCATTCACTGAGGAAGGAGATGCATGGATTGTACCAAGCAAAGCTTTTTTTGTTAGTGCTACAGAATCCACTTCCAGCAAGGTGCAAAGAAAACAGATGGGATGAGAAAGCCCTGCCCACAGCTTCCATTGTACCCTGTACAAAGTGTGTGGGTTTTTCTTTCCATTAACACAGGCCAGTCCCCTGGCCCCCTGCCAGCCTCCTGCCGAGGCCTCTTGCAGGGGAGGGGCAGCAGCCGCAAGTCTAACAGGTGCTAGCATCTTGGCAAGGAAAGGAAGATTCTTCTCTTGATGTCTTTTAATCTTTCCTGCAGGATGATTTCAATAGGCTTTGGTCTGCAGAGGATCACAGGCTCCCCATAGCCCTGCAGCCAGGGCAGTTCCAAGGGAACATTTCAGGAGCAAAGGAGCTTTCCCACAGTGGCCTGTGTTGTCTCTAGTCTCTCTGGGGCCTCACAAAGCCAGCAGCCCCTTTGGTAGAATAGGGGGGATTAGGGCTGCTCCTTCTGGCTGGGGCGGCACCAATGAGTTTGTCAGGCAGATTGGAATCTGCAGCCTAACTCCAGTGTCAATATTGATTCACGAATCCTTTAAGTGTTATTTACTGACTCGCCCAAGTAATTCACGTGCCCCAGAGACCTCACTGTGCATTCTGCCAATGCAGGAACAAACCCAGGATTTATCCGGGTTATTCTTTTAATTGAGCTCATGACAGAGAGCAGGCTGGAAGACTGCTCAGTTCCTGGGCTCCCATCTCCTGGTGCCAGGGAGGCTGGAGTACTTGGCTTGCCTGGTGTTTGTGGGAGGGGGCCCAGAAATGGAAGCAGCTAGGAGCCTGCTACCTGTTTATGGTCTAATTGACTTGGTGGCCATAAATTGCCATATTTGAGCACCTATGCCAAGTGCCCCATGTTAGGTGGGGGTATGAATCCACAGATACTGCCTGCCTAAGAAGCAAGAGACTAGGGTCAGAAACCACAGACAGAACATGGCAATACAAAATGCTCATTCCAAGGACACTGAATGATACATTCTGGTTGTCTGCACAATAGAGCAGTTCCTACTAAACTGTTGTTTCACCCCTGCTAATGCTTTGAAGCCTGTTTGTACCTGGGGTTATATGGTGGCACAGCCCTGGCCTGGCCAAGGCTCCTATCTCTGGGCATGCCTGCCTGACTCTCTCTGCCCAGGGCTGGCCTATCCTACAGACAAACTGGGCTGTTGCCCAGGACAGTCTTTCTAGCACTGATCAGTAATCAGTGGCTTCTGATTGGGTGCCATGGTTAACACATGAACGTGGGAGAGGAGGTGCCAAGATTTATTTTGCCCAAGGCAGCAAAATAGTTCTGGTTGTCTCTGCGTGAGGGAATGGTTAATCAGGAGGGGCTTTGTAGGAGGCTTCTGCCCTTCTTGCCAGCGTAACTTAGAAGAGCAGCAACATGAACTGCTGCCACAACAGGCCCAGTCACCTCCCCACATTGCATGCAACTATCAGCACCACTAACATGCCTCATAAGGACACTTCCTCAGCCTGACAAAGGGTGTCTGTGCCCGAAAGCTTGCTAAGAAGAATTTTCCCAACTATTTGAGTTGGTCTAATAAAAGATATCAGATTTACCCAAAGAACCTTGTCTGCGTCATCAGGACCCTTGCCTTCCAGTGAGGGACAAGAGAGATGACCACAGGCCAATCCCACCAGCATGTCTTGCTCATCCTGACAACAGCTGCTACCAGAGAGCAGCCTATCCAGTCCTGTCTTCCTCATACCTAATGGACAACCAGGGTTGGGCCTAGTTGCCTTCCTGTAAGCACTGTCTGGGGTGGGAAATGCTTGGGTCTCATGCTGGAGCTCAGAGCTACCACAAGTTCCCAGTGACACTGATAGATGTGTCCCCACAGCCTTCAGGCCACTCTTGTAACCCCAGCTTCTGACTCTCAGATTCAGGCCTGTCTACACAGCAGCCAGTTACCAGTCCATTGCCCACTTTGTTCTAGATATGGTTAATGCCCATGCACATGGCTAGTTCTCCAATAGGAAATGAGGCTGTTAATCCTGTGCTGCAGTCGGCAAAAGCCTGGGGAGGACACGGTCACCTTCCTTTAACTAGGCCACTGTATTGTTGCTTTGCAGGGTGGAGGGGCCTCCTTAACCCCTGGCTGTGTAGATTGCTTGGCTGGGCTTTTCTCCCAGCCCTCACATTCAGACTGAGCTTGGCTGTGTTAGTGAACAATTCAGCCAAGAGGTGTATGCTGGGACTTCCATTTCTTGCCTGTGGTCCCTCAGTTTGTATAGGCAGCGATCTCTGAGGTGGCAGGGAGGGTCTTTTCAGCCTCTTAAGCCCAATAACTGAATACCCCTGTGGCACAGAGTCTTGAGCAGGGATTCTGCATGAAGCCTGTTGCAGCGTGGCCAGGCTCTACACTGAAATGTGCCTTGCTGTTGTTTTCCAGGGGCTCTGCCAGATAAAGGAGATTTGCTTCTTGACCCTCCCATGGACCAGGAACTGGAGAAACTGTAAGTGCCCAGAGAAGAAAGGAAGGTAACAGATCCAGTACAGCACGCTGGGAGGCTGGGATTAGGAACTGTCCTCTCTCCTCTCATCTAGCCCTAGGACAATGGATGAAGGAACCCTTCAGTTTAGGCATCAGAGGCCTTTTTATGCAGGGTGCAACAGACAAAAGTCCTTGGCACATGCTTGAGAAGCAGAGCAGAAAGCTCTCTTCAGTGAGATACAGTGGTAGCAGAGAACCCCCAGGGCATGGGGAAGAGCTTTTTATATGTGCATGCTCAGTCTGCTATGGCAGAGTAAACCAGGGGGAGAGCTAGTGGAGCACAGACTGAGGCATGAGACGGGGAGTTCCTCAGCACATGAGGGAGGATTCACAGAATCAAACCCCCAAGCTGTCCTGCTAGCTGTCAGTGCAGGGGGTTCCCTAGTCTGCTGTAAACATCTCCTCCCCACAATCACTGAGTGAATTCTTTGGCAATGGCCACCATCATCTCTGGCTTCCCCCTGGCAGAACGACGGGGTGAAGGTTGGTGATGACCACCTAGGGTTTGTCTTTTCTTTCAGGGTAGCTCAGGTTTCAGGGCTCTCTATCTCCACTCCTGCCAGCTCCAGTGGGGAGCCAGCCAACTTGCCTTCCCGCAACTCCCCCAGAATCAACTCCCCCTGGAAGCCCCTGCACCACCGTAGGAAAGTGGATACAGAGAGCGATATCTCCACTGAAGAGACAGACTCCTCGGAGAACTAATGTGAAGTTAGCAACTCCTCCTCCTGACTCCCCCGCAACTGATGGGATGCAGGACGGAAGAGCACCTCTGCCTGGAGGCTGAAATTAGGTCCCACCTGCATCTCCATTGCATGTGCCTCCCTCCACACCACGCCCAGGTGCCTCAAGCCCCTCCCTGCAAACCACCATCACCTCCTGTCCCAGACTTGGCAAAGGAATCTCTCTTTCATCCAGAGCCCAGAACTGAGGCCACTTCCAGCTGCAGAGTTATGCTGCCCCCTGCTGGCAAATAAGACAAATTACCCAAAGCTTGCCCTGGGAAGACCTCCCCATGGCATTCTACTGCTGATAGGAAATATTCTTCTCACCACTGATCTCACCTTCCTGTGCTTGCTAGGTGCGAGGAGCAGAGGGAGAGCTAGTATAGATGGAATCCCATCTCCCCAAGAGCTTCACTCAAATTATTCCTGATAAAGCTGCACTTGTCCTAGGACAAAGGTGGAAGAAATTTCTATAATGCCCAGAAAAGTAAGACCTAGTTGTTGCCCTCTCTACTCTTCTCGGCCTTCTCCTTGGTCTCTAAGAGATGCCAAAGCAAACACAGAAACTAGATTTTCAGTTAAATACTGCACTGTGATCATCTGTTGTACTGGGTTAGCCATGGGGTTCTCTCTGGGAACATGCTCCTTCTAATGCCATCATAATATAATTTAGTGTTATCTTAAGAGCAGTGACAGGGTGGACGTAGCACATAAATTTCCCCTTGCCACGCACCTTGTGGTCTGCAGTGTTTTAGGTATTGTGCTAGCTGGGGTGTATATGACAGGAGTTGAAGGGATCTTATCTTGACTTAATCTGAGTTATCTGCTAAATGGGTGCAGGCATTGATAGGGCAGCAAAGGACTCAACATCCTACCTGAATTTTGTCCTTACAACTGCAAGAATGAAGCCTCCACCCTGTTATTCCTGCAGAACTCAGCAGCTTGGACTTCAAAGCCCAGAAGCTGGTGGAGCTCAGCCTTGGCATCTCCCAGTCTGCTTGGGTCTTCCCCAAAGGCCAGTTACCTCCTGCCCCTGACTCAGTCTGAAGGAGCTTCCTTGCTTCTCTTCCTTCACAGAAAGCTTCAAGGTGCCAAACACCAGGAACTGTTTCCCAAGGGTGTGGAGTTGGCATCCAAATGGTATTTGTCCCCTGAGGAATCTGGTTTAAGAAGCAATCTACCCAAATCCTCCCATGCCTGGGACCCTGCCCCACCCAAGAAGAATATCCGGGGGGGGGGCATTTATTTATTGTAACTTATTTTATTTATTATGTTTTTAAACTGCTGTAACTCTCCCATCTTCCTGGAAGTGACTATAACATGAAGTAAATAAAGCATGCTGTGGAAGGTGAATGCTAAACCTGGGGTCTCCTGCTCTGTTCTGTCCTAAGGAGTCAGCACCACCACGTGCCTTAAGGGAAAACAATAGCATGTTTCACAGCTTCATCCTTCTGAGCCCGCAATCAAGACCAAAGGCTGGTACAGTTTTGGAGGTGGGGTACACACCAGAATGTGCTCCACAAAGGGCAGTACAAATGGTACCAAATAGGGGAAGGAGTGGGCATGCCCCCATAGCCAAAGGCAGCGGTGCTCAACCTTTGGGCCCTGAAGACCAAATGCACAGCACAGGGTTCGTCCATGGGCTGGATTAAGCCCTGTGTTCCAGGATTGGATGCTGGCCCTGCACTGCCTCCCTGCTATGTGCCAGGATTGGGCTCTAGGGGCCATGTCACCTCCTCCCACTTGTGTGCGCCAGAACTGGGCCATGGCACTGCCCCCCCCAATCAGAATTGGACCCTGGGACTTAGCACTGCCCCTGCAGGTCTTGAAATTTGAGGCTTCCCATGGGTCTTAAAATGTTGTAGTAGGAGAGTTGTGCCACTGCTCCCCCACTGCCAAATTTCTGGAGCCATGGGAAGCGCCATGGGCTGGATGACTTGCGGGCCAGGGATTGAGTGGCCTCAGGGATGATGTGAAGCCTTCAGCTGGAAGTACATGTATAGGGTGAAAAAAAATGAAGGTGTCCCCCAAATTATTTAGCTTTGAAATGTGAAAATGTCTAGACTATCTGGTTAGTGTATAACCTAGATTCTAAATCCTTAGGAACATGTCTTTCTTCTGCACCGTGTGCAGAAAGAGCTCAATCAAATAACTCTAAATACCAAAACTTTGTCTAAAAAAAATGTAAGTTAAGGTTGCTGAGAGACAGCAGTTTACTTACCCATCATACCATTTAAAAGCACTTATATGTAAAGGTTTTACTCTTCCGATACAATAAACAGATGGCTTTCAGCAAGCACAAAGACATGACAGCTTTTTATCACAACAGCCTTAGCTCTGACCCAGGGGTAGTGATTAATGTTATTTTTGTTACCTTCTCCTTGGCAACAATGTATTTCTTTCATTGGAGACTTCCTTGCTCTGGACCTACCATGAATCTGATCGGTCATTGTTGCCTTTCTTTTTAAGGTTGTTCTTTATGTTTGGAGAGTGCTAAGGAAAGGATCATTGTCAGTTTGGGTCTGTGGAAATGTATGATCATGTGTTGACCATTCACCAATGTCTCCATTAACTGCTAGCCACAGTCCTTCCACAGGCCCCGCCAGACCACTCCCCCAGACACTTCATGACAGGTTTCTGATGGAGCATTTGTAAAGCAATCTGGCCAAGCAGAGATGAACATTCATTCTTGTCTTGGTTTCTTCCAAACCCCCCAAAAACAGTCCAAGGACCCCAGGGCTTAATACACTTTCCCCTAAAGAATTATGGAAGTATCCCAGGACTTTGACCTTTTCCTACAATTTCCCTGGACTTGAACCACTGCCTTAGGAAGGTCTTATGGCTCTGGGACTAGGACAGTGTTGTAGAGCGGTACCTGAATGCACGTAGCAGTAATAGCTGCTCTCGTTGATGCTGATATTGAGACTCCTGACTTGCTCAGTAGCCAGAATCTGTTTTCTGCCTTGCTGCCATAGCAAACCTTGGGGGATGCGTAATAATGGGAAGTTCTGGTTCACTTGCACGCTGTATCTGGAGTAATCGCTGCAAGCCCCAAACTCTTTTCCTTGTCCGGGGAAACCAGGACCTGGCCGTGATGTCCCTTCTTGGAACTCCTGAGGCACCGACTGAGAGGAGGCCACGGCCCTGCTACACAGGAAGGCAAAGCCCCCAGCCCAGCCTGACCATGGGGTAAAACTCGCTCCTGACCCCAAGTGCAGGGGCAAGCCCTCCAGCTAGGGTGGCCAGAAGACAGTCCAGTTGTCCTGTCCTCTATTGATATGAAACTAGATGCCTTTATTTTTCCTCTTCAAGAGAAAAATAGAGAACAAAGTCATCGGGTTTTGTATCAATAAGGGACAGAGTAGCAAAAAACCAGAATGTCCTCTATGATGGCCACCGTACCTCCAGCCCGGCCCTCCCCAAGGTGGCGCTGGTGCAAGCAGCCCAGTTCCCCTGCACCCCCAGGAGCCCATGTGCCAGGGCGCAGCTCTGCCCACGTGACATGCCCAGGCTGGTGGTTGAGCCCAGCTCCCATGATCTGGGTCAGGCATGGGTAGTCTGAACACATGCACTGCGTCGCTTCAAGTGGGGAGTTGCCTCTGAGTCCCACCCATTCCCCAGTGCACGGGTCCCTGAGCTCCTTGTGGCGGCCGCCAGGGCCAGCATGTACACATGTGCGTGCACCCATGCACCACCCCTTTTAGTGCGGAACAGTGACTCCCCCTCACTGTAACCTACAGCTCTACCCTGCCTCTGCCCACTCCTCTATGGCCAGTCTGAAGTCAGAGTAGAGCTGTACATTACAGCGTGCAGGTGGATGTAGTGCGTGTGAGCCTGAGACTGTTACAGAGGGAGGGAAGAGTACTAACCCTCAGGACACACGCACTGGGGGCTGGGCTGGACTAGATGACCACCCCTCCACCCCTGAGGTCCCTTCCAACCCTAACTTTCTAAAAAAGATTAATTTTCTGATACTTCCCTGTAGTACATACGCACACCACCTACTTCAGTTGTTCTAGAGATGTAAGTAGATCCTACCTTCCACTTGACTTCAGACTAACCTGGCTCGCTCTCCCCACAGAAAATGTTTATACTGACAGTCACCACCTGACACAACCTCAGTAAACCAGATGCTGCAGGTGCTAAGGTGCAGGGTGACAGCCCAGCAGCCCCAAGTACGAGGCCATAGCAGAAGCACTCAGTGTGGCCTGTCAGACTCCAAACAAGATCTGCAAATCGTGCTACGTACCTTGTTACAAACACATGAAAAGGAAAACCCCAAACCCAGCTACTCCATGGCACTGGTTGCCTCTGCCCTGGTAGCAAGCGCATGATTAAGCACCATGCAGAGAAGCCAGGACCTGGAGTGCACCATAAGTCCAGAGTGCAGGAGGGTTGAGTTTTGCATTCCCTACCAGCTATGAAAAAACACAGCACTGGCTAGGAGTACCAGGGGAAAAAGATTTTTTTTTCTTCAGGTCACAGAGACTGAAGGGTGCAGCAGCCCCTAGCAGAGGATTCAAAACTGGCCTCTTTCAAAGCAACTGCTGCTCCCCGATGCACTCTGTAACACCAGTGCTGCCAGTTTGAAAAACATCCCTTCGTTCCTGGCCACTAGTTTGAAGAATGTCTCATTCTTCTCAACTGAGGGAAGCATGTCCATCAACTCTGGGGTTTCACTCCCACAGGTCTTCCTTTGTGAGTTATAAAGACAGAAGGAGGATAGAAGACAATCATTCTCAACTGCAAGGGATTGCTGATGATGAAAGACAGAAGGCAAAAGTACTAAACTCAGTATCCCAAACGTTCACACTGTACCTTATCTATATAAGCGGGGTGGGGGGAAATATGGCATATGGAGGTGCCAGCTGCAGTCAGCATTTAACAGCCAGGAAAAAGTGAACAGGCCCAAAGATTTGCACTCCTCTGACAAAACTGAATCAATGGGTTAACCAAGCAGGCTGGCATGCTGCTCCAGACCAGTGACAGACAGAGGTACTTGGGAATCTTCCTCTTACAGCTCAACAGTTACTACTTAATTTCTTCAGTGACTAAACACCTGAATTTAGCAATGAATTCCATTTAAAAAAATCATTTTTTTGGCAAATGGAGCATTTTTCCCCAGCTCCAAGTTTTAACATTCACGTGTTGTTATACTGGGGGGTTGCATTCTAGGACTTCCTGCGACCCACACCCTCTTCCCCACAGTAGGGCTGCATCCCCCTTCATCACATGTCAAGAGCTCTGAATCAATATCCATTCCCCACCTGCTGCTGTTAGTCTCCTTCACTTTTTGAAGAGAACAAATTACTTAAATTATCTAAAAAACGTTGTTACCTGCGTTGTTTGCAGTGTTCATCTCCAGTACTAAATTGGCCTGTAAGAAGCTCTGCTACCATCACCTGTAGATTTGGTTTAAGCTGTCAACTCTGATAACCACTGCCAGGGACTCCAGAGGTGCCAATTGCCTCTTTTATAGTTTTGCTGAGACAGCAGCTGAGCTCTGCCCATTCCTATTGACAATATTCCCCAGGGTTTTTGGAGACAAGAAGAAGAAAAATTCTACCATGTTGGGGACAAGGCCTTACCAACCCCACCACTTAAACCAACAGTTCTCAATCTTTTCAGATCTGAGACACCCCTCAGGAAATGTTAGCTCTTAGCTTTCACTCATTTTTGTTTACTACAGAAATGTAATAAAAACTATTCTCTTGTTGCAAATATCTCAGAAAGATCTCAACAGGGCAGAATGATTTTTAACACTATGGGTTTTTAACACTATGTTTGAAATCTCTGGGATTATCTTGTGAACCATATTTGTACTCCTAACAGTACTAACACTGTGTGGCATCCCACAGCACCTTTGGAAGCATCTCAAGGCACCCCAGGATACTGTGGCACCTTGATTGAGAATCACCAACTTTATTTTACTGAAACACTCAAAAGGACCTAGCAGTACCGTATTTTCACGCATATATCCCGCAGGGTATATGCGATTTTACAAAAAAAAAAAATGGATGGGTACAGGCTATCAACGGATTTTTTTCCCCCCTGCAGGGCCCGGGCAGGCAGGGCTATGCCGCTGCCACCGTGGGGACCAGGCCAGGCTGCACCGCCTCCCTGCTGGGCCCGGGCAGGCCAGGCAGTGCCGCCACCGCTGTGGGGGCCAGGGCCTGGCTGCACTGCCTCCCCCCTGGGCCCGGGCAGGC